ACCTCCACACTCTGTTGGAGCCTTTGGGCCATTGTTTCAATGGAGTGTGGCTTCCAGGTATGGAAGGCAATATGACTTACACAAGTGTATGGCCAACCTCCAGGACCCAACATGTCACATGCGGTAGGGCAGTGACATGATACATGCAGATAAACACCAACACCAAAAATATACCCAGGGTGCCTGCAGCAGGAATTGATGAGAGAGCATCAGTGACTCATTCAACCATTTATGTGTATTACTATTGCAGCCTTTACCTTAAAGTAAAAGTGGGTTTTACAGGGGTTGGACAAAATTATGGAAAAACCAGGTAAAAGAAATCATTACTAATATGGTGTTGGACTGCCTTTGGCAACCAAGACAGCCTGAATTATCCTGGGAATTGACAAATATAACTCTTGGATAGTGGATAACAGAAACTGATTCCATTATTGAAGCCTGAACCTTGTTCTCCAAAATTGACCATAATGGCTCTATGATATTGAGGTCCGGTGACTGCGGTGTCCAGGGAAGGTGCGAGACTTAGTCTGCATGCTCGTCAAACCATGTTTTGACAACACCAGTCATGGGAACTGGAGCATTATAGCCATGGTAAAATGGCGTTGTCTTTGGAAAATTCTAAATTTATTAGAACCCAATCAGTTTTCCACTGTGACCCCGATGCTGGGTCCACATGTGGCTTCCTAGAATTGTCAGTGTGGATGAAATTTTCTATTATTGAATAGAACATTGAAAAAAGGGGAGAGGGGGAGGGGATCAGAAGAGGAAAAAAAGAAGGAATGGGGGTTCCTTATAATTGTTTTGTCAAATTGACAATGGATGCATTTCTGGGCGGTCAGATCACACCTGCGCCTTCAAACGTCTTTTTGAGTCTTTGGCATTTCATCGAGTCTCTAGGATTGCCTTCTGTATCTCTAACTCTCTCTTCACTCCTGTTTCTTTCTAGCTCTCTTCTTCCCTTCCCCACAGACCCTCCAGCTGCCACGTCCCCATCCACCTGTCACTTTCGTCTTGACTGACTAGTTCAGTGTCTCCCTCTCACTCTCCACGCTCACCAATTGCTGCCTTTCTAATTCTGTCACCTCTCGCTGTCACTATCCATCATCCACTCTGCCATCGTTCGCCAACACCCCTCCGTACGCTGTGTGTGTGTGCTTAACATGCAATGCATTCTATTATTTATCACCTTCTTGCACACTCATTAACTGGATTGCTCAAGGCACAAGTGTGTCTTCTCCCCGGATTTTTTAAAAACAGTTTTCCCATATGTGAAGCTAAATGCCATAGAAAACATTTGGGCATTCTAACAAGGTTGTCTACAGCTCCCACCCTCCATCTCAGATATTTGACAAGGAGTGAACGCAGCGTGGAGATTCCTGCACCTTCCCCAACGCTTCCTTAACTGTTTATTTCAGGCTTATTGGGGGCAGACAGTATATCTTTACATTGGGAATAACACATTTCCAAAATGCTTTCATTTAGTGTGCCGCTATGTCCTGTTTCTGTTCACAAGCTAACTTGATTTTTTTAAATTTATACTTAAAGTGTTACTAAACCCACAACAGTAAAATCAGTCTGTATATGCAGTAAAGCATGCTTGTTATACTCACTGTGGAACCTAAGGGGTTAATCCTCTGCATTGTGTAAAAAGGCTGTTTGATCCTGAGTTCTCTGCTCCTCCTCTTGTTCAAATGTCCACCTCTTATCTCCTGAAAAAACAGACTGAATCATAGCCATTCGCACATGCTCGGTTTAGTGTGTATTGCTAGAGAGGTTTTTTTTTTTTTCTTCGGAGAGTACATGTGATCAGCACAGGGCCAATCAGCACTGTCCAGACAGAGGTCAGGGGTTTTGCATCCTCCTAGAGCAGAAAGAAAACTCCTACAAGCTTTAACCAGTGCTCAGCTGGACATTGATAGAAGTCAGAAGACTGCTCTAACTGCTGATGAGAAAAGGTATTTAGCAGTTTATATTTACTAAAATAATTGCATTTCCATGTTCTGTGCACTGTGGGAGACCAGATATAGTGAATGCAGGGTCCCGAGAGACCAGATATAGTGAATGCAGGGACCAGGGAGACCAGATATAATGAATGCAGGGACCGGGGAGACTGGATATAGTGAATGCAGGGGTCCAGGGGGATGATGCCGGGGAGACTGGATATAGTGAATGCAGGGGCCGGGGGGACCAGATATAGTGAATGCAGGGTCCGGGGAGACTGGATATAGTGAATGCAGGGTCCTGAGAGACCAGATATAGTGAATGCAGTGTCTGGGGGAGACCAGATATAGTGAATGCCAGGGTCTGGGGAGACCAGATATAGTGAATGCAGGGTCCGGGGAGACCGGATATAGTGAATGCAGTGTCGGGGAGACCGGATATAGTGAATGCAGGATCTGGGGAGACCGGATATAGTGAATGCAGGATCTGGGGAGACCGGATATAATGAATGCAGGGACCGGGGAGACCGGATATAATGAATGCAGGGACCGGGGGAGACCGGATATAGTGAACGCAGGGTCCTGGGAGACCGGATATAGTGAATGCAGGGTCTGGGGAGACCGGATATAGTGAATGCAGGGTCTGGGGAGACCGGATATAGTGAATGCAGGGTCTGGGGAGACCAGATATAGTGAATGCAGGGTCTGGGGAGACCGGATATAGTGAATTCAGGGTCTGCGGAGACCGGATATAGTGGGTGCAGGGTCTGGGGAGACCAGATATAGTGAATGCAGGGTCCGGGGAGACCGGATATAGTGAATGCAGGGTCTGGGGAGACCGGATATAATGAATGCAGGGTCCTGGGAGACCAGATATAGTGAATGCAGGGTCCGGGGAGACCAGATATAGTGAATGCAGGGTCCTGGGAGACCAGATATAGTGAATGCAGGGTCCTGGGAGACCAGATATAGTGAATGCAGGGTCCGGGGAGACCAGATATAGTGAATGCAGGGTCCTGGGGAGACCAGATATAGTGAATGCAGGGTCCGGGGAGACCAGATATAGTGAATGCAGGGTCCGGGGAGACCAGATATAGTGAATGCAGGGTCCAGGGAGAGCGGATATAGTGAATGCAGGGTCCTGGGTTTAGTAACACATTACATTTACTTAAAGTAAAACTAAAGGCAAAACATTTGTAGTTTTGTATAGAGTGGAGACAGGGCAGAAAATGGTTAAAACTAATTTTGCCACCCCCCTTCCCCCTTTTCTTTGTGACCACCCATTGGGAAGAATTTCCATTAATCCCTGATTGAGAGACACAACAGGAATCTTTCTTCCTTTTTCTTTCCTCTTTCCCCCAAATAAGTGTCCTAACTGGAAGATTTCCGCTATATTCCTGATTTGATGACAACTCAAATTTTGGATTTTCCCTTCCTTTCAGTCTAGGCGACAAAGATCACCAGGGTGAATAGAGAGGGTGAATCTCTCCAGTTGAGACGCAAACCTGAATTGGACTTGGCTTTGGGATCTTGCATTCCCCTGTACAGCAGAGTTCAGACTGAGAAAAGGAGAAACAAGACTGGGGAGCAAATCAGCTATGCTGCAATGCAAGGAGCATGCTCAGGGGCGGACTGACCATTTGGAAACTTGGGTACTGCACGAGGGCCCGGGGTCAGTAGGGGGCCCCATGAGATGCCCCTCGTACCTTTTTCATAGGCTTTTTTGAGTTTGGGCAAGGACACAGGGGCCCCATGATCCCCTATTGCCCGGGGGCCCCATGAGTTGTCAGTCCGCTCCTGAGCATGCTGATAGAAAAAGCAGAGTGACAGAGAGTTGAGCTCATCATTCTACTCCATAATTCTACTTCTACTGTCCAGTAGTGGTGCACCGAAATGAAAATTCTGGTGCCGAAACCGAAACTCCAAAATGCACTTGGCTGAAAACTGAAACTGAAACCGAAATGCGCAGTTGTTAAAAATGAATATATATTTTTTGGAATATATGAAAGAAGATGTTACGGCGAGTAAATAGATACCCAACATGTCACACTTTAAAATTGCGCACGCTCGTGGAATGGCGTGAAACTGTGGTACTTAAAAATCTCCATGGGTGATGCTTTAAAAATGTCTACAGGTTAGCAGTGTAAAGTTACAGAGGAGGTCTAGTGTGAGAATTATTGCTCTTGCTCGGACGTTCGTGGCGCTACCTCACGTGTGTGGTTTGAACACCATTTACATATGTGGACATGGCCTACGTATGCGTTCACCACTACGTGCGGAGCACGGGGGGACAGGGGCACTTTAAAATTTTAAAAAAAAAATGTATTTAATTTTTTTTGTCCTGTCCCTTTAAAAAAATGTAATCACCTTAATTCTTATCACAAGAAATGCAGCCATCCCTTGTGATAGAAATAATTAGTGACAGGTCCTCTTTATGGAGAGATATGGGGTCAATAAGACCCCACATCTCTGCTCTGCAATGTAAAGCATTAGATTTAAAAAAAGCATTGATTTAGTGCTTTTAATTTTTAAAAAATCGCTTTGTCCTCCAAGGGCATAAAGATGAATGGCGGCCATCTTTCCTTCACTAATCTCTATACCCAGTGCCGGGATCGTAAGGTAAGACGGGGAGGCAGCGGTGGCGAGGAGAGGCGGCGACGGCAGGTGGGGTTTTTTCAGCACCTGTCCCGAAACATTTCAGCCACCGAAATTTCGGGACATCCCTACTGTCCAGTCACTGGTTGGGGGAGGGACAAGACCTATAATTGTTATTGAACTGCAGCAGAGAAGCAACAGGTCTTCTGCCCTGTCAGGCAGGACTTTGCTGAATGTTCTATTTATTTACATCTCATAATTAAATTTACATAAATGCAAATTCCTTTAGTAGATATAACAGCTCCCTTTTGTGTATTATATGTCCCTTATACTATATGTATTCCATCTGTGTATTTAGCTCTATGTCTGGAATTCAGCGTAAGCCCGGGTTCACACTAATGCGGTGCGGTACATCGCATGTGATTCACACAGGAACTGCACCGCATTCCTGTGCAAATCACATGCGATTTGTGTGTGGTGCGATTGGAGCCGTACATTTTGTATGGCTCCAATCGCACCGCACCTGCCTCAAAAATGTGCAGGACCCTTTTTTGGGTCCGCACTAGAATCGGATCGCATGGGTATTCACACCTATGCAATCCGATTCTGCACATCGCGGACCGATTTCGGGGTGTTGTTAACATACACACCTGCAGCGGTTCGCATTAACGGGGTGCGATTCTGATTCGGTGTGGAATTCGCACAGAAAACGCTGCGAATTCTGCTCCACATCAGTGTGAACCAGGGCTTAAAGCATACAGAGGAATGATGCAACTTGTAAGAAAGCATAAGCGGGCAAATATTTCCTATTGATGATATTGACCCTTTACCAAGCATAAGTAGTCCCTGAACTCCTAGGGGTTCACATTCTGATAAATGAGCCCGACAACCAGGGAACTAGCATTTTCTAAAGGAGATCAGCAATAGTAGACTGTAGGTATACAGTGAGGAACAGAAGTATTTGAACACCCTGCGATTTTGCAAGTTCTCCCACTTAGAAATCATGGAGGGGTCTGAAATTCACATTGTAGGTGCATTCCCACTCCGAGAGACAGAATTTTAAAAAAAATATTCAAGAAATCACATTGTATGATTTTTAAAGAATTTATTTGTCTTGCACTGCTGAACATAAGTATTTGAACACCTAAAAAACAGCAAGAATTCTGGCTCTCAAAGACCTGTTACTGTGCCTTTAAAAAGTCCACCTCTACTCCACTCATTAATCTAACTTCGTAGCACCTGTCTGAGCTCTTTAAAGACACCTGTCCACCCCACAGTCAGTCAGACGCCTACTACTACCATGGGCAAGACCAAAGAGCTGTCAAAAGACACCAGAGACAAAATTGTGGACCTCCACAAGGCTGGAAAGGGCTACGGGGCAATTGCCAAGCAACTTGGTGAAAATAGATCAACTGTTGGAGCAATTGTTAGAAAATGGAAGAGGCTAAAGACGACTGTCAGTCTCCCTCAAACTGGGGCTCCATGCAAGATGTCACCTCGTGGGGTATCACTGATGATAAGAAAGGTGAGGAATCAGCCCAGAACTACAAGGGAGGAGCTGGTCAATGACATGAAGAGAACTGGGACCACAGTTTCAAAGGTCACTGTCGGTAGAACACTACGCCGTCATGGTTTCAAATCATGCATTGCACGGAAGGTTCCCCTGCTCAAGTCATCACATGTCCAGGCCCGTCTTAAGTTTGCCAATAACCATCTGGATGATCCAGAGGAGGCATGGGAGAAAGTCACGTGGTCAGATGAGACCAAAGTAGAACTTTTTGGTCTAAACTTCACTCGTTGTGTTTGGAGGAAAAAGAAGGATGAGTTGCATCCCAAAAACACCATCCCTACTGTGAAGCATGGGGGTGGTAAAATCATGCTTTGGGGGTGCTTTTCTGCGAAGGGGACAGGAGAGGGAATGGGGTCATTTATTGTGAGATTTTGAGCAACAACCTCCTTCCCTCAGTCAGAGCATTGAAGATGGCTGGGTCTTCCAACATGACAACGACCCAAAGCACACAGCCAGGATAACCAAGGAGTGGCTCCGTAAGAAGCATATCAAGGATCTGGAGTGGCCTAACCAGTCTCCAGACCTAAATCCAATAGAACATCTTTGGAGGGAGCTGAAACTCCGTGTTGCTCAGCGACGGCCCCGAAACCTGACAGATCTAGAGGAGATCTGTGTGGAGGAGTGGGCCAAAATCCCTGTTGCAGTGCAAACCTGGTCAAGAACTACAGGAAACGTTTGACCTCTGTAATTGCAAACAAAAGCTTCTGTACCAAATATTAACACTGATTTTCTCAGGTGCTCAAATACTTATGTTCAGCAGTGCAAGACAAATACATTCTTTAAAAATCATACAATGTGATTTCCTGAATTTTTTTTAAATTCTGTCTCTCAGAGTGGGAATGTACCTACAATGTGAATTTTAGACCCCTCCATGATTTCTAAGTGGGAGAACTTGCAAAATCGCAGGGTGTTCAAATACTTCTGTTCCTCACAGTATGTTATGTAGCAAAAATGTATATATGTGTCCTGCTCATAGCATAATGATGTTACAAACAAAATAAGATGATGGCCCTTTAAATATTTTGAAATATGTGTATATATATGTATATATATACTGTATATACAGTATACACACCATTTATTTTCCTTATACCGTACATTGCTCTTGATGCATAAATTATACAAGACCATTTGAAAGGCTATTCTACACAATCTATACTCATTATATTTTCACTGGCCCAGTTAATTGCCTGTATATTTTTTGCTGCCCCCCTCTGGCCTGCGGCCATCTGCAAGGTCCTCTTTCCAGCAGAAAAGGCAGTGGCTTAACTACAGTATCTCACAGAAGTGAGTCCACCCCTCACATTTTTGTAACTATTTTATTCTATCTTTTCATGTGACAACGCTGAAGTAATGACAATTTGCTACAATATGACGTAGTGAGTGTACAGCTTGTATAACTGTAAATTTGCTGTCCCCTTAAATCACTCAACAGCCATTAATATCTAAACCGCTGGCAACAAAAGTGAGTCCATCCCTAAGTGTAAATGTCCAAATTGGCCATTTTCCCTCCCCGATGTCATGTGACTCATTCGTGTCACAAGGTCTCAAGTGTGAATGGGGAGCAGGTGTTTTGAATTTGGTGTTATCACTCTCTCTGTTTCATACTGGTCACTGGAAGTTCAGCATGGCACCTCATGACAAAGAACTCTCTGAGGATCTGAAAAAAAGAATTGTTGCTCTACATAAAGATGGCCTAGGCTATAAGAAGATTGCCAAGACCCTGAAACTGAGTGGCAGCACAGTGGCCAAGACCATACAGCGGTTTAACAGGACAGGTTCCACTCAGAACAGGCCTTGCAATGGTCGACCAAAGAAGTTGAGTGTAGCTGCTATGAGTATGGGAGGGGTGGGAGTAAA